CTGCAAGGGATTTTGAAGTATTTTTCTCCTGAATGGATTTTGCCTGTAGCATTCCTTTACTTATGAATGGAGCCATTTGGGGAGGCTGCCTTAGCCAGCAGCCATACTTACTACATTTATTTTTCTTCCTTAAGTGCCCACTGCGCTCCTTAACTTTCCTTTCTAGCCAGTAGCTAATTCTTAAAGGGGAATGCACCTTTTTAAGCTAGTTCCCTCAATGGCTTGTCTTTTCTGTCTCTGGAGGCTTTTCCTTGTTCAATGAATATATAGAAGAGGGGAAATAGGGGGGGTTCAAATTCTTCTTTCAGAAGGAGATGGGAATGAGAAAGAGGGAGGCAGGGAAGGAAGGAGGGAGGAAAGGAAGTCCCGCCTTAGCACTTGGCCACCTGCCAATGACTTTGCTTTTCAAAAGGTTGCAAAGGGGGATCACATGACCCTGGGACACTGTGACCATCATAAATATGAATCCGTTGCCAAGCATCCAAATATAAATCACATGACCCTTGGCCTGCTGCAATGGTCATAAGTGTGAAAAGTGGTCATAAGTCATTTCAGTGGAATTGCAACTTTAAACAGGTTTTTTTTTGGGTCATCAAATTTTTGATACCTTGCTAGGTGGTACTCGAATGTTGCCATATATCCTAAAAGTGGTACAGTCGGTGAAAAGGTTGAAAAGCCCTGGCCTACAGCATTAAAGCATTAAAATCCCAACAGATAAATATTTCTATAGCAATCAAAATGGAATTCCCAGTCAAGATAAAATTTTATTTAAAAGATGGGGAGGAACAGGATGTGTGAGGGGGGAGGGGGGATTGCCTCTTAATTCAACAACTACCTCCAGTGTGATGCTCCCCATTGGGACCCCCTGATTTTGAGCCAGATTTCACCTAAACTGTACTTGAACCTTTGGTTTTTTCCTGCCCAGGTTCCCCCCCCAACCTCTCCCTGCAGCCGTCCGGCCTCCCTCCCAGCCCCATTTCCCCCCCCCTGGGAAGGAGGTGGGGAGGGGTCCAACCCTCCTGCCTGGGATGGGGGGGCAGGGAGGGGTCTAGGACAACTTGCATAATATGGAAGAAATGCAGAAAGAGAATCAGGAAAGGAAGGAGGCCGAGGGAG